CATTCAGGCTGTGTATTCCTCCCTGCCCGCGCTATATTTCGGGTGGGGACACACACAGTTTGTGTGTTGTCTGCTTGGGAGCGAAGCACACAGAGTCAGCTCTCGAGGGAGCTAACTGCCCGCATGGCGAGCGTTTGTTACTGCCTTGCTTCGCTCTCGGAAGGCTCTCTTTGAGGAGGGAGCCTTCACCGGCGTTTCTTGCGGCGCCAGCTCCGCTTTCGCCAAGGCGGAGCGGTGGCTGTACTCGTGGGTTTCGCATATGGATCCGGTGGAGGGAATGTAGACGGGCTCGCCCCTATCTTCTTCCTCACCTACCAGATCCAGCGCCCGCTCTCGGGGTTCGGAAGCCCGCGCTGCTGTTCTTTTCCCCCGGTGAGAGGGCTCGACGCTCCGCCTGTCTTCCTCCGAGGAGGTTGATACGGAGGGCGTCGATGAGCTCGCCAGTTGCACAAGCATCAGTTACACAAGCATATTATGCCTAATATTATAATGAGTGGGAGTCATTGGGTCCTGCCCCGAGCAGGCTCTGGTTCTATCAGTCTAGTCTTCCTAGGAGATGACGTGGGTCTGAGGACCGTCGTTTTCAATAGGAGACTTCAGCTTGTTCGGCCGTCTCCTGCCGGCTCGTCGCTTCAGGGCACCAACCTAGCCGCGCAGATTACACCAGAGATCTCATTATTCATTATCTCAGTTTCGAGAGACTGATTCCCTTAGTAGACCTTTTTGGCAGCATGGAAACGTCTGCCAAATGTGTCTCAGTGGGTCCTGCACACTGTAGAAGAGGCTACCGAATCAGTTCGGTTCTTCTCCGCCTCGTTTCAACGGGGTCATTCCCACTCTGGTGGGCCCCGAGCAGGCTCTGGTAATGGAACAAGAAGTTAACACTCTCTTGAGGAAGGAGGCCATCGAGGTGGTCCCTTCTCTCGACAGACAGTTTGGGTTCTACAGCCGGTACGTCATCGTCCCAAAGAAGGATGGAAGTTCCTGAGGTTTGCTTTTGGGGGCAAAAGCTTACCTGGTTCTTCCGTCGGCCTTGCACTCTCGCCCCGCACTTTCACGAGGTGTGTGGATGCTGCTCTGGCTCCTCTGTGACTCCAGGGCATCCACATACTCAACCACATCGATAATTGGTTGATATTAGCTCAATCTGAGCAGATGGCAGTTCGGCATCGAGATGTCGTTCACGCTCACTTGTAAGAGCTGGGGTTGGACTGGATGCTATGGTACAGACGTGGCCGAGGCTTTGTCTGTACGCCTTTTTCCCCGATCACTCTGCTCCCGGGAGTTCTGGAGAGAGTTTGCCGGGACGGGGTCCGTCTACTCTTGGTAGCCCCATTCTGGCCGGTCCGAGGAGGGATCTCCTCTCACAGGCGGTGGGTACTATCTTCACCCCCGCCCGGAGCTGTGGAAGCGTGGGTGTGGCCCCTGGGGGGGTGGGGGGCAGACACCCCCTAGTTACACGTTTCCTCCACGGTACGCTGAGGCTGAGGCCTCTGGCCAGAGAAGCTTATGCTAAGCGGTGGATCAGGATGCTTTTCCATAGCCTCGAGTCCTCTGATCTCCCCTCTCCTTTAGGGGTCAAGACTTACTCCTTCTGAAGTTGGCCTTCGGGACGCTGCGGGATGTCCCCGCCTACTTTGTCAGGTGCCTTCCTGCATTCTGCGCCACTCTATAGAGAGTTTTGGCCAGGCTCAGGTGGACCTGTTTGTGACTCGAGAGACATCGCACTGTCCCCTCTGGTTCTCTCTGACTCATCCAGCTCCTCTCAGACTGGACACTATGGTACAGACGTGGCCGAGGCTTTGTCTGTACGCCTTTTTCCCCGATCACTCTGCTCCCGGGAGTTCTGGAGAGAGTTTGCCGGGACGGGGTCCGTCTACTCTTGGTAGCCCCATTCTGGCCGGTCCGAGGAGGGATCTCCTCTCACAGGCGGTGGGTACTATCTTCACCCCCGCCCGGAGCTGTGGAAGCGTGGGTGTGGCCCCTGGGGGGGTGGGGGGCAGACACCCCCTAGTTACACGTTTCCTCCACGGTACGCTGAGGCTGAGGCCTCTGGCCAGAGAAGCTTATGCTAAGCGGTGGATCAGGATGCTTTTCCATAGCCTCGAGTCCTCTGATCTCCCCTCTCCTTTAGGGGTCAAGACTTACTCCTTCTGAAGTTGGCCTTCGGGACGCTGCGGGATGTTCCCGCCTACTTTGTCAGGTGCCTTCCTGCATTCTGCGCCACTCCTGGCTCCTTTCTCTCGCCTTAGCTGTGCTCTTCCACACTAGGCAGAGATTGGTAAGTCTGGCCGCGTGGGCATACTTGTTCCCAAAGCGTTCCGATGCAGCTCGAGTTCCTGAAGGGGAATGTTGTTAAATTCATATTTATTGCATTATTTTAGTGTTCTGTATTTGTGTGAAACACGTTTTGTACATTAGTATTCACATTATCATTTAGTAATTTAAAATTAAACTTGCACGGTTGAAATGTTCACAATATGCTCAATAAAAAATGCATAGGGTGAATATTAATTTCATTCATTCACATTAAAATCTTCTCTGAGAAAATGAAATTTCAAACGAAAAAAAAGAAAGTCAGGTTTGGTGGTGAGCTGCCTCTTTAAGAGCATCTGCCACTGACAAATCAGCCATCTAAAGCCTATTCACTTTAGTGTATAAATTAAACAGCCCTTCAGTGCGTCCCAGTTCAGTACTTCCTGTTTGGAAATAATAAGAAAGGAAACTGCTTGTCAAGCTGGGGTCTCTATTGTGCATTCAGGTTTGATCAATGCACTGGGCAGAGTACTATTGTTTAATCTGCTTTCATAAATGCAACCCTTTATTGTTTTCTAATATTGATGCTGCAGACTCCATAAGTGTTGTAAAATCATTGTAATGCACGGGCTCTCATAGCTTATGCTGTAATCTACAGTTGAGTGTCATTCTGTCAGTCCTGACTAAACAAAGGCCGTCTCACTGTACTGTATGTGTGAGTGCAGTTATTTATTCATGAAGTGTGAACACACACTCACGCAGCCGCAGTTTTTGTGATGTAACGTTTGGGTACTGGAAACATGCGCAGATTTCCTCTGTGTGCGCTCAACTGTGAGTATGTCTGCACATATTATAGCTCTATCAATAAACGCTAATAGAGCTGTGCAGGGCTGGAACAGAAGGGTATTGATTAATTCCTGAGTTTAACAGCCCATCTTTAGACCTGTCTGTCTGAAAACACTGAATCACTCGGCTGAGGAACAGCAGGATGTGACACTGTGGGGTTTAGCTGATGCTTTTATTTGTGCTTCTACGCCCATTTTAAAATGAAATCAAATAAATAAAGCTTCCCGAAGAAACAGCATATTCTTTGAACTGTGTTTGTCAGCAGCATTGATGTGTGTAGAGTATGAGAGAAGCAGTGGGTAAAGCATATTCATTTGTGCTTGCTCACAAACCCCTAGCCCTGAGTCATATGTTGTGTACAGATGTGCTGGTGTTTTCATAAAGAGAGACCCAAGCTATGTTCACATCATGGACTAAATTGACTTGGCTAGTTGTTTTTGTTTTGTTTTTCAAAAAATATCGAAATGCAGTAAACACTGAAAAATGCACATGCTGCACCTGCACCAGGTAGCTTCATACCTCTAATGCTCACTCAGGCTGCACTCATTTAATGAAAAATACAGTATTATTGAGAAGTATTTAAAATATAAGAATCATGTGACGCTGAAGACTGGAGTAATGATGCTGAAAATTCAGCGCTGCATCACAGCAATCATTTTACAATATTCTGACATAGAAAGCAGTATGATCACACTTTATATTAGGGTATTAATGCATTTGTAAATAAAAATACAATGTAAAAAAGAAAGAAGAAGTACATTTATTGCAAATACAATGTAGTTAAAAACACTTGAGACAGAGTAGGTCCAACAATTTAAAATTCTAATAATATTTCACTGTTACAGTTTTTACTGTATTTTTGATCAAATAAATGCAGCCTTTTTCATCAACATTAATTCCAAGCGTTTAAATAGTGTGTTTGAAACATTCATGGGCAGAGCTGCACTGTGAGCGTGAGGTGATGCAGATGGAGCAGAGGTGGAGCATGCAGGACAGACACTGAAGCAAGCGCTGCATAATGCATGAGAAAAGCCTCTCACTATGCACAAGTAGATTTCCTTGTGCACATGCATCAGGCCTAAAAATGGCACTTATGCTTTCAGATATACTCGGTGTTCACAACATATTGACTTCTGTAATGAGACACATTTGTGAGTGAAGCGGAGTATAAATGCAGTGTGGGACTTGATGTTCTCCATGAGGAATTGAGTCACTGTATGATTATGTGTGACCCTGGAGCACAAAACCAGTCATAAGTGTCAATTTTCTGAAATTGAGCTGAATATGATGTATGGTTTGTTAGGATATGACAATATTTGGCCGAGATACAACTATTTGAAAATCTGGAATCTGAGGGTGCAAAAAAATCTAAATATTGAGAAAATCATCTTTAAAGTTGTCCAAATGAAGTTCTTAGCAATGCATATTACTAATCAAAAATTAAGTTTTGATATATTTACGGTAGGAAATTTACAAAATATCTTTATGGATCATGATCTTTAATTAATATCCTAATGATTTTTGGCATAAAAGAAAAATGGATAATTTTGACCCATACAATGTATTGTTGGCTATTGCTACAAATATACCCCAGCGACTTAAGACTGCTTTTGTGCTCCAGGGTCACAAATCTCACTGCAGGATGGGGGAGGTATATCTCTCTCTCGCTTGAAGAAAAGAGAGACTCAATATAGAAGATATTTCTGAATTCAATTTCTCATGAGGTCTTTCTGTCTGTTCCTCACCGAGCTGATTTATTCACTGTGATTAATATCAAGCTTATAGTGATCCTGAAGAAAGTATTTTCCAGTGGTTTGATTTGAGTTCATGCATCCGAGTCTCATTCCTCAGAGTGTCAGATGAATTGTTTTCATTGGTTGTGTGTGTGTGTGTTTCAGGACCGCAAGCTGACGAAGGTGGAGAGGCAGCGCTTTAAAGAGGAGGCTGAGATGTTGAAGGGCCTCCAGCACCCAAACATTGTGCGCTTCTATGATTTCTGGGAGTCTCCGCTGAAGGGGAAGAAGTGCATCGTGCTGGTCACAGAGCTCATGACGTCAGGCACACTCAAAACGTGAGGAGCGCTCTCACGGACCTCAATAGAGTCACAGTCTGAGCTGCAGTCCAGTGTGGCAGGAAAGCAGCAGTTCAAAGTTTGGTGCTTTTTATGAAATCATGATAGGCAAAAGCTCAGGCATTTATGAAACAAAAACTATGAAATAGAAGCTTAAAAATGGTGAAGCCTCACTCAACTCACAACTTACAAGTTGTTTCTCTCTAAGGAAATGATGCCAACTTCATCATTTAATGATTTGTGATTTATGAGCATCCATTTAAAGGTACAGTGGTCAAAATAACACAGTGAGTAGTAATTTGAGGGACACAATAAAAACCTTTATTTTAATTGTTAAATTAAATTTAATAGCTGAAAGAATACATTACAGAGAATGATTACTTATATACTTAATGTGGAAGAAAAAGAGAAAATAGAAATCAATCAAAATCAAATTGAAAATTTTGTGATTTTTAAATGCTGTAAGATTTTTCAAAATATTATTTATTTTATTTTATTTTTTTTACCTTGTAACAATGTTGAATTCAGATGAGGTTGTTGATGACAGACAGCTTTAAAATATATTGTTCAGCATTTCAGGGCAATAAGATCCTGATCTTTTATCAGATATGAGGAATGACCTGCCATGTAGTTAAAGACACTTCATATAAAGTCATGTGACAGCTTCTTTGAGAGGGAGAGTTCTGGAGTCGCCACTGTTACACACACATGAAGTGTTTGCAGTTGAGGTTTATGCAAAATAGCAGTAATGTGTTTTGTTTTCTCCAGGTATCTGAAGCGCTTCAAGGTGATGAAACCCAAAGTGTTGCGCAGCTGGTGTCGTCAGATCCTCAAAGGCCTGCACTTCCTTCACACACGCACACCTCCCATCATCCACCGGGACCTGAAGTGTGACAATATCTTCATCACGGGGCCCACGGGCAGCGTGAAGATCGGAGACCTGGGTCTGGCCACGCTCAAAAGAGCCTCCTTCGCCAAGAGTGTGATCGGTGAGACAGCAGTCCACTCATATACAGCTTTTCTGGATTAACATACACTGCCAGTCAAACGTTTTTCAACAGTAAGATTTTTAATGTTTTTTAAAGAAGTCTCTTCTGCTCACCAAGCCTGCATTTATTTCATCCAAAATACTGCAAAAGCAGTAACATTGTGAAATATTTTTACTATTTAATATAACCCTTTTCTATGTGAATATCTGTTAAACTGTAATTTATTCCTGTGATCAAAGCTGAATTTTCAGCATCATTACTCCAGTCTTCAGTGTCACATGATCTTCAGAAATCATTCTACTATACTGATTTGCTGCTCAAGAAACATCTCTGATTATTATTATTATTATTATCGATATTTATTCTTTGATGAATGTAAAAATCCAAAAATCAGCATTTATCTGAAATAAAAAGCTTTTGTAACATTATACGCTAGACCATTCACTATACCAGCTTGGAGTCAGAATATATATTTTTTTTTTGGGGGGGGGAAATAATTTATAGACGTGAATACTTTATTTAGGAAGTATGCTTTAAATTGATCAAAAGTGATGATAACGACATTTATAATGTTACAAAAGATTTCTATTTCAGATAAATGCTATTCTTCTGAACATTCTATTCATCAAAGAAACCTGAAAAAAATATATTTAGCTGTTTTCAACATAATAATAATAATAATAATAAATGTTTTTTGAGCAGCAAATCAGAATATTAGAATGATTTCTGAAGGATCATGTGACGAGTAATGATGCTGAAAATTCAGCTTTGAAATCACAGGAATAAACTACATTTTAAAATATATTCAAATAGAAAACAGTTATTTTAAATAGTAAAAAAATATTTCAAAATGTTACTGTTTGTGCTGTGCTTCGGATCAAATAAATGCAGGCTTCTTTAAAAAACATAAAAAATCTTACTGTTCAAAAGCTTTTGACTAGTAGTGTACAGTGTTCCTTTATTAATTATTCTGGTTCATTTGACTTTGCTTTCAGATACCAATGCTCATTTTACCACATTCAAACCCCTTTCACAGATTTCCCCCAATATCAGTGCAGATGCAAAAAACATCCTTAGATTCCAAGACTGCCTTCAACATTTTGTAATTCATTTAATTCCAGAAGTCAGATGTAGCTTAATTGAGCCCCATTAAAGCAGAGTGTGTGTTTCTCTGTGTCAGAACATCTTTGCATGCTGTCATTTGTTTGTGTGATCATATCCTCAGGTACGCCGGAGTTCATGGCCCCAGAGATGTACGAGGAGCACTACGATGAGTCCGTGGACGTCTACGCGTTTGGCATGTGCATGCTGGAGATGGCCACATCTGAATACCCATATTCAGAGTGCCAGAACGCCGCTCAGATCTATCGCAAGGTCACCAGCGTAAGTCACACTGCACTTGAGCCCTTTCTAGTGTTCTTACTGCAGTGATTGTTTCATTTCAGGATTGTATGACTGATTTGATCTTTGAGACTCATGTTATTACACAGGCTGTTTATGCCTGCTGCTACAGCCTGCCTCAGCGTGTTTCTGCATGTTCATAAAGCACAAACAAGGAAATTCACAACATAAAAATTCAGCATATTATTCCCTGAATTGGAATCTCTTCACAAACACGACTTTTTGCATGGAAAAAACTCACATTCAGCTCTGACATCAGACTGATATGATTACACCATCACATCAGTTCACCACGAGTAAAATCATGTCATGATCAACTTTTTTGTTTCATTTTTCTCTTTCTTTAATAATAAAGGAATAGTTAATCTAAAAATGCAAATCTGCTGAAAATGTGCTCAACCACAGACAATCCAAGATTAGGATGAGTTTGTTTCTTCGTCAGATTTGTAGAAATGTAGCATTGCATCACTGTCTCAGCAATGGATGCTCTGCAGTGAATGGGTGCCGTCAGAATGAGAGTCCAAACATTCTGATAAAAACATCACAATAATCCACAAGTCCAAAAGGACATTTTCAGCAAATTCTTGGATGTACTGTTCTTCTAAATGACAATTTAAGGAGGTGATATTTACATTACATTTACATTTTATCCAAAGCAACTTACAAATGAGGACAATAGAAGCAATCAAAACTAACAAAAGAGCAACAATATGTAAGTGCTCAGTGTCAGTTAGCCTAACGCAGTACACGTAGCAATGTATATATATATATATATATATATATATATATAAACACATACACATATACACACACACACATACACAAAGAAAAACAAGTAGATAGAATAGAAAAAATAGAAAACTAGTGTTTTTTTTAAATAAAGAAAGAAGATAAATAGATAAGGTAGAATTAAAATAGAATAGAAAGTACTAGAGTTAGAGGGTCAAATAAAGGTGGAACAGATGTGTTTTTAGTCGTTTCCTGAAGATGGTTAAGGACTCAGCTGCTCAGATTGATTTGGGCAGGTCATTCCACCAGGAGGG